CGGGTGGATGCTCGCCGTGTTAGGTCTCGGGTTGACCGGACGGGCGTGACGGTCCGCAGGGGATGCTCGGGGAGATGGATGATGGGGCCAGACGATGGGAGGAGGTGGGGATGGGGAGAAGGGGAGACGGGGAGACGGGGAGATGGCTGGACAAACGGAGATTTGAAGCTCGAGCCTCGATCGACCCCGCCAACTGATACTGTTGTGCAGATGAGCTGTGCGTGCATGCGCCTTGCTTCTTCTTGTTTCCCGAGATGGGAACTTGCATATATTTGGGGCAGACCGGCCCGCTCATTATTTTCGTTGTGCCACCTGAGGGACGGGCAGGGCTGCCACACCAATAGCGGTCGAAATAAAGGCGAGGTGAGATGAGAGTTCACGCTAATGAATAAATGACTGATGAGAGATCGTTATTCCTAGTGGCATATGGAAAAAAAGCTAGGTGGGACCAGGCCGTGCAAGACGCTGTGCTAAAGACGCTGTGCTAAAGACGCTGTGCTAAAGACGCTGTGCTATGTAATGCGGCGTGGACACACTTGATATTCGGCCGGGAGGAGCCCGTCCGGGTTCAGTGAAATGGGCCACGGGTAGCGGGTGGGGAGTGGATATGACGGCATCCGCGCGGTTTTCCATGGCGAGCCGTTTAATGCGAGATGCGACCAATCTCGCAGGCTCCCAAGACTGCTCCGCGCAGCTCCGCAGGCAGGATATCACACAACTGCACGTCTTGCTCACACTCGATCATTTCGCATACCGCAGGTTACAACGTTGTTCTATTTGCCCTGCATCTATTCTTGTAATCGCCTGTTCCCGTCCTCCCACACTGCGAATCCTTCGCCATCGCTCTGGGCCCCCCCCGGCAAACAAACTCTCGACTCTCTCCTGTACTCCGTACCACCGCTTCATGCACGCATTGCGACCTTGCTCCCCCGGCCCGACTTCCAAATCCTAGGCGAGCTTTCGAAACTCGAGCCGACATCTCCAACAATATATCGGATTTTTATGTACATAGCCCCCCGAATCACTCGAGCCTGCATCAATCGATCGACACCACCCATGATACACCCTTCCTCGAGCCGTTGGAACTCCCCGTCGGCAGCCACTGACGGCCCCTGAGCCGCCATGTACCTACCGATATTGCCTGCCTCCATACCAGCGAGATCCGTCACCCAGTACCTGCCCGCCTACACTGCTACCGACTACCTGCGCCAGGGCGAGGGCGACAGTGATGGGAAACCCGACGGGCCCAGGAAGGGCCTGGAGGAGTGGTCGAGCTTGATAGGCATAGTAACCGCCATCGTGGGCAACGTCCTCATCGCCCTGGCCCTGAACGTCCAGAGATACGCGCACATCCGATTACACAGGGAAAAGGTGCGAAACCGGGAGCGTGCGAAACAAGCTCTCAAGAATGCGATAAATGGGAATGGAGCGCCGCAGACGGGCTATGGATCCGTGGACGAGTCGCGAGGAGGAGCCCACACGCCGGGCGACGACGACGACGACGCCGCCCGCGGCGCGCAAGAGTCGGACCCCCTGACGCAGTCCTTCCAGTCCGGCGACTCGCGCTGGTCCGAGAACTCAGACGACGGGGCCGCGACGCAAAACTCCACCAACTACCTCAAGTCGCCGTACTGGTGGCTCGGCCAGATCCTCATCACCGTGGGCGAGATGGGCAACTTCCTGGCCTACGGCTTCGCCCCGGCCTCCATCGTGTCGCCGCTCGGCGTCGTCGCCCTGGTCTCCAACTGCATCATCGCGCCAATAGTGTTCAAGGAGAAGTTCCGCAAGCGCGACTTTTGGGGCGTGGTCATCGCCGTCTTTGGGGCGGTGACTGTCGTCCTGAGCGCCAATACCCAGGAGACCAAGCTAGACCCCCACGCCGTCTGGGATGCCATCACCACCACCGCATTCGAGGTGTATATGGGTGTGACCTGCGGCCTGATCGTCCTTCTCATGTGGCTGAGCCCTAAATATGGCAACCGCACCATTCTTATCGACCTCGGTCTCGTGGGCTTGTTTGGTAGGTGACAGTGCTCTTATCATCTTCAGCCTCTGTGCGATTCACTGACAGTGCTCCCAGGTGGCTACACTGTGCTCTCGACCAAGGGCGTGTCGTCCATGTTGTCTTCAACACTACTTCGGGCCTTCGCGACACCAATGATCTACGTGCTCTTGTTTATCCTGCTCGGCACTGCCGTCATGCAAGTCCGCTATGTAAACAAGGCTCTGCAAAGATTCGACTCGACACAGGTCATCCCCATCCAGTTCGTTTCGTTCACACTGTGCGTGATCATAGGAAGCGCAGTTCTGTACAGAGACTTTGAGCGGACGACATCCGAGCAGGCCGTCAAATTCACCGGTGGCTGTTTTCTGACCTTCTTCGGCGTGTTCCTCATTACTAGCGGTAGGGATGCGGGAGATGACGACGAAGACATGCTCTCTGACGACGACGACGTCGAAGAGACCATTGGTCTGGCAGACCAGGAGCCCGATGACCCTCCGTCCCCTGTGCAGCAGAGACGTCGGGGCAGCGACGCAAAGCGCTCACGGCGGTCCTCCCGGGTGAGCTTCATGGACGCCGTCAACAAGCCCCTGGCAGTCCTTCAAGAATCGGGCGTTCCGTCGTCGAGGGCGCCGGCGACACCGCCAAAGGCGTCATTCTTCCCATCAGGAGAAGCTGGCGAGTCAGCGCCTCTGTTGCGGACGCGCTCACAGGATCGACATTCCACACCCCCAGTCCACCCGGGGATAGCACATGCGATGTCATCGGAATCAGCCATCTCGATATCCAGCGCCACGCCGATAAGTTCTGAACCGCCCACACATCCTGGCACACCCTTGGGGCAAAACTCGGCCCTCCCTGCCATCAACATCCCCCACGATGGCAGCCCCGTAACACCAAGACCGCAGTCAGCATCGAGATCATCCCACACCCACCACTTCACGGGGCCGCTCTTCTCACCATCCCCGTTCCACTCGACCGTCAGCGGCCTCGTCCCATCGAACCTGGTCAAAGACGCCCACCAGGTGCGGAGGCCGTCGTCACGGCGGAGGCCCAGCCTGCGCTCGAGCCTGTACGTCTCACACGACGACCTGAACGTGGAGCCCATAGGCGAGGAGGAGGAGAGGTTGATCATGTCCGCGATCGAGAGGAGCCGGACGGCGGATGAGTCGCAGATCCCCGGGCAGCAGGGCAAGAGGGGCGTCAGGGCCCGCGCCAAGAGCCTGACTAATTCGGTGGGGGACCTCTTCGGCGTGAGGAGGAAGCGCGAAGACGGTGCACCGCGCGAGGGCGGCGAGAGCGGGCAGAGTAGCCAGGTGCCCGGGGACTTTAGCACCGAGACGTTGTGAAGACGCTTAGAGAAAAGTGTTTTTTTTGTCTTGAGAAGAGGTGGGAGTGCTTGGGTGTTTTCTGGAGTCGGAGAGTTTTCATGGGCGGCACCGCATTGGGACGGCGTTCGGGGAGGGGAGGGCAATCTGTTGATTTCCAATAAGGGAGCGTTCGACTTTCGTTCATTTGTTGTTTTTTTTTTTTTAATTTGACCGGTAGATATGGCCAGGCTTTGAATACCCCAGCTCCTGGTTCTTTCCGCACAGATGTAGACATGGTGAAATAAGATATCCCGCTCTACTGAGGACAACTACTTTGAATTGGGCACTCGTGAGCTGTGCGGACTGTTGAGTTGAGGGGCTGAGAAATCGAATGAAGCATCATGGCTTGACTGGATGGAGCATCGTAGCCTTTCGACGAGTTGAGCCTTTGAGACAGGTTAACTTGCCTCGCTCGACTCCTTGAGGAGCAGTCACTTCCTCGACACACACACAGTCAACACAAGTCCGCCCATAGCTTTCCTGGGACAACTCTGTCTGCACAGCGTTCCAACAGATGAGCTACTACAGGATAAACTGTCATAGGATTACCTACTTGTTTCCGTGGGAAACCCTACTGGAGAACTACCTCTTACAGGGTAACCTCCCACATGATAACCTTCTCTGGTATAACCTCTGGTATAAATTGCTGTGAGATAACTTGTCTAGGTCAAATTCCTCTGCGATAACTTCGTCTGGATGACCTCCCCTAGGATAACTTCACCCAGGATAACCTCATGTGATACAATTCAATGTGGTATAATCTTATGCGGGAGAGCCTCATTTGGTACAACCCGTAAAGTAGCTTGAATTGTAGCAGCACCTGCCTTGGGATAACCCCCAATAGCACAACCTACCCTTGAGTCGCTTTCCGTGGTACAATCTACACGGAAAACTGTGGATTACCTGGTGAGAGTACTATTCCTGGGTCTTCAAAACCGGGCATGACAACAGATGAGTCGAGATGGGTTCCATCTCAACGCTCAGTTTCCTCTCATTGAGCTACGTAGCTGTCGAATAACAATGAATTTGCGTATCGCCATCAATGCAAGGATGCTTGCAGTGTGTGTGCTCAGAGTCAGGTTCGTGCCTGCGAAAGTGGGAAGGCACGCCTGCGTTCCTCCCCAGTAGCCAGTAGGGGGTGTACCAGGTACAAGTTTAAGGTTTAGGCCCATCCCGCTCCGTCCACCCGGACCCGTCCACGTGCCAGGACCTCAAAGGTGTCGCCACTCGCGAGTAAATGCTCAAAATGTTCTACATGATAACTGGGAGTTAATGAGCGGGGCCGGGACTTGCCAAAACCAAATTGCGCCTGTCAACGGCTTGGAGTTGTTGAGTGGGAGTGTGGCGAGGGCAACCCGTCTGCGGCTCGGGGTCGAGTCTCATTCCCGTCAACTATACCGGCAACTTTTTGGCTTGCAACTTGTCAACTTCCTTTGACTTTGATAAAAGAAAGAATTAAAAGCCTGTTTCACATTTCTCCAGCTCAACGGACCCCAAATGCCTGTGGCCCACTGTGTGGCCGACAAAGGGGTGGGCAAACGGTCCACCCGCCGGTCCACCCACAACCTGTCCAGCATCTCCACAACGCTAACCAACTCCATAATATTGCAAATTCACGTCTATGCAACAGCTACATAGCTCAGGGGAAGAGCGCCGGGCTCATAACCCGGAGGTCGCTGGATCGAAACCAGTTGTAGCTACTTGATCTCATTTTTTGCATTTTTGTGGGATGCCTGGTGGTGCCTGAGACAAGTTCTGCATGGGTTTCTCTATTCCTCAGTCTTTCCTGTGATCAGAACGCCTGTGGGGTCTTTTTTGACTGCACGATTGATTGTCTCGGTGACTCAGAGGTCTTAGACATGGGCACTTCGACCACAACATCACATGTTTTTTTGCTTCTTCACAGCATGTTCAAAATGAAGACAGTATGGTAAATCATCATTGATGCTAGGTCTTTCATTCAATATGCAGAATCCATGTGTACTTCATTCACAACCAGCAGTCTCACAATTGATTCCTCATTTTCACCAACTTGAAGATTAAAAGCACATCAGCAAGGGAGGTCGTGGTCATTCACATATTTCATTAGTAGACGGGCCACACTTTTGAGCCACTAGCACAGATGGCTCTCACCTCATCATAGAAATGGTAATGGGTATCATTATATCTACACATAAATCCTAGCCCTACATACGTTTTTACCGAGCACTCATAGCACTCATAGCACTAGCATACAAGTCATCAAAAACATTAAGGTCTAGCCGTTACGCCGGCGAGCGTGCAAGCAACATTCCTCGAACCTGCCGCCACTTTTCACCCTTTTCTCACTGCAACTGCCGGTCCGCCTGGCTCGCACGCCTCTGCATTTTGCGCATAGCCTCGCGGTGCATCTCCATCATGTCGCGGTCCAACCGGATGCGCTGCTCAAACATCCGACCCGCCCGCTCCCGCTCCGTCTTGAGCGTCGCCTGCTTCTGCGCCTCCGCCTGCCGCTGGCCCATCATGAAGCTCCGCTGCGTGTCAATGTCCCGCTGCACCTCGGCGTCGTAGCTCTGCCGCACCACGTGCTGCGGCAGCGAGTTGGCAGACGACGTCCCCGGGACCCCGTAGATGGAGTTGATCAGCGGGCCCCCCTGCGTGGTGCCGCTGTTGAACCCGCCGCCGTACCCGAGCTGCGCGTTCGCGTTGATCGCCGGCTGCCCGGTCGACGTGCTGCGCAGGTCCTGCTGGACGGACTGCCTGAAGCTGGCCAGCTGCGATTCCCGTGCCGCCTGGTTGGGGATGTTGGACGCGCGCTGCGGCTGGTGCGAGTTGAAGTTGGCCCCGCCCACGAGCGAGCCGCTGTTGACTGACGTCCTGCTGTCCTGGCGCATCATCGCCCTGCGCTGGCTGAGCGGCAGGTCGTCGGCGTCGATCAGGGCCGAGCCAGAGATGCCCGCCGTCCCAGAGCTCCTGCGGCTGTTCGGCGCGCTCCCTGCGGCGTTGGGGTCTCGCATGGCAGGCGGGCCCAGCGCCGCTACTACTCCGTACGCGGCCGCTGGTACGACGCCGCGTACGGAGCCTGATTCTGACACCTCGGCGGATGAGGGGGGACTGATCTTGCCCGGCTGGACCGAGTCTGGCCGCAGCACTGAGGCTTTCTTCCGCATAAGCAGGTCGCGTTGGCCGATCAGGGTCTGTGGGCTGTTGTAAGAGACCAGGCCGGGAACCGATGGTCTCGAGGAAATGTATTTGGCCGCAGGAGGAGTGCTGTTCCCGCTCGGGGACATGGCTGGTGGCCTGCTGGCCCCTTCACCTGTCAGAGCCGCCGCTGCAGCACTCCTCGCAGCTTTCCTGCTGTCGCTGCTCATGACGGACCTGTTGTCGTCTTCCTCCGCCACTGCAGATACGGCCCGTCCGGAAACACGTCTCGTGTCCGAGGCCACTCGCTGGCTTGGCGTAAGGTAGCCCTGTGGAGGGGATGGTTGCTGGATTGACATCGCAGAGACTGACCTGGGCATGGCAGGAGGCGGAGTCGCGTCCAAAGCTGTCTTGCTCAGCTCATCGACGTCTACCGGTGCTGCTTTCTCCTCGGTCTCTTTGACTTTGTTCAGTTCCGGTTCGGGCTCGTGTGGGATCCGGAGCTCGGCGGGTGAGGGCATCTCGGCGTTGGACAGGTGCTTGGCCCATTCGTTTGTTCGATACGACAGTGCGATCTTGGACAGCCCGCGAGGCAGTCGGTCCTTTGTGAGGCTCAGCGGGCCAGAGTCGGCCTCAGATGCGATCGATTTGCCCGCTTTGGAAGCGCTCTCAGCCTCCACAGGCGACGCATCTTCCACCTGCTTCGTGCTTGCCTTCTCTGATGTGAGCATCGAGTCAAGGCTTGGCTTGAATTTGGTCGCGTCTGAAGACCTGGTTGTGTTTGGGTCGGTTGCCGCCGAGTTCAGAATATCGGTTGAGACAGTCACTTCCGATGCTGGTCTTTTCGCAGGAGCCTTCTCTTGTGTCGCATCATCTGCCAACTCGGCCTTGATCTCCTTGCTAAATGGTCTCTCATCAGTCGGTGTCACTGCTCTCACGCTGCACCCATCTGACTCATTCAGGGTCGCGACGATGGACTCATTATCTTCCTTCACAGGAGACGTCAAATCCTCCCTGCTGTCGCTCTTTCCTCGAGCAGTAGTGTCCATTTTTCTTCCCAATGATCGCTGAGACAGCCTCCGGAATAGGTCGGCTGACCCAACAGATAGGCGGTTGACAAGTGAGCTCCTCCTGCTCACGGTGCTTCGTGTCTCCAACAAATCGCCATCGTGATCGGCAATTGCAGCTACAGACGATTGATCATCGTCACCTTCCGCACCAGCCTCGGGAGCCTCGGCAGGCACCTGGAAGGGCAAGGCTACAAGATTCGGCGATGACGTCGAAGCCTTTGCTCTGAATTCTGCAGACGCCTTGGGGACGAGTCGCACCTCTCCGTCATCGCCAATGAGCCAAACCTTTTCTTCCTCTTCTCTTTCAGTGGCCGGTGAGCCGATGGTAACGTCGTCAACAGCAACGCGGACTGTAACCATGCCGTCGGCGCTCCTGTCGAGGACCTTTTCTGCTGCCGTCTTGGGCTTTGGCGGTGGGTCGGGCTGGTCCCCTGGGAGCTCCGTCGCGGCATGGCTCGGCCGTTCCTCCTCGGCGATTGGGATCTCCGCCATTTCAATTTCTTCTCTTTCATCGATCGTTGAGCGGCGGGTTGCGGTGGCGGTTGTCGTTGTGCCACTATTGCGAGCTTTCCTTTCGTGGTAGATATCGCCGACACTAGAATCTTCCGACGTGTGTACTCCCACCGCGCTCTTGTCGCCATAGACTGCTTCCCACTGCTTCCTTTCGCTCGCAGTAGCCATTTCAACATCCCTGCCCACGTTTGCTTCACGCTCTTGGTTTTCTGCTTCTGCTCTGACGCGCTCTTCTTCTTTTCTCGCCCGGCGTTCCTTAACAACCAGCCAAAGCTTGTTCTGGGACACGAGGCCGATAAGGGCGATGATGATCGTGACGGCTTGTTCGACTCTGATTCCCCTGGTGAGTGGATATGTATCCGCACCAAGCGGGAACAAATTATCATTAATGTTCCATATCCATGCCCAATACTCCTTGAGCCCCGCACGGCTAAAGCAGTCAATCCCGATCACAACTGCTGTTGCTCCGCTGAGGGAAATGCAAGTTATCATGAGGTGGGCTCTCGTCCATCGGCTGAAATAGCCTGCAAAGCTGGCAGCCGCAAACACGGCGATGAATATTGTCACGCCAGCACCTCCTGAACCGAGCAGGCCGCCTTCCTTCAGGGTCAGAAGCCACATGGCCAGGCAGAACCCACCCAGCAGACACGCAAGGCATTCCGTGACCTCCTTGAAGACGAGGGCTGCCCCGCCAAGCAATAGTCCCGTGCCTGTGGCTGCAACAACGTAGGCGCCCTGCACGCCATCAGAAATGGGCGGGTTCATGACATATATTATTAAAACTGTCACGCCGGTGGCGGCTAGGAAACCGGCAGAAAGGAAGCAGTGCAGCCACTGAGTCTTGATGCCAATGAGGGTGTAGGCAGAGCCTGTCAACATCAGGATGACACCAGCGACAGAGAAGCCCGGAGTGACGCGTGGCTTCAAGGGCAGGTCACCCGCAGCAATAGTAACTGAGTACCGTGTCAACAAGGTCATCGGCGTTATAGACTGACATGGTATCACTTACTATTAAATAGAGTAGAGTTAAGATCGCTGGTACCACCTGTCACTGTGGGAACTGGGGCGGTTCCCGTCACCGTCGCAGATATCGAGGACGGTATCGAGGAGCTCTCTGCCTCAGAGACCGCTGAGCCGCCCGCTGAGGACGTGAAGGATGCTGAGGCGGCATCTCGAGTCGTAGATGAGGGAGCCGGCGTGACGGGAGCGTCGCTTATATCATCCTGTCGTGGAAGGGGCTGCGCAACACCGGCAAAGACGATGTTGAAGCACAGGAGGAAGCAGAGGACTACACCCCATATCCTTGGTAGCTGAATAGCCCTCATCATGTGTGACTGTGGATAACTTGGTATTACTGGTGTTTACCAGGTGATCCCTCACAACTCCCTATATGCCCAGGTGACGAGACGAGAAAGCTCTCAAGGGAAAAGAGAAAATCACCGGGTCTAGCAGACGTGTAGGCGAATGAGACTCATCCTTCGTCAACAAAAGTGGGAAAGTAGGGGACGGCCAGGTTGGGGAAGAGGGGGAGAGGGTAGTCGGCCGAGGAGTGTGAGCACTCGCTTGAAGATGGGAGATCAAACAATATTGGCCGAGGAAACAAGAGGGCTGGACGGAGCAAACAGAGTTCAGCGGACGGGGATCGGGTCTGAGCTAGACGAGACGGACCCAGGCTGTCGATGTAATAGCGAAGGAGGCGAGGGAAATGCGGGCAGTGGTAACCCCTAGACTATCAAGTACGACGTTACCGCAGGTACTCAACGCAAGGCAAAGCTGAACTTGGAGGTAGTGTGGACAAACGAGTGGACGAGAGGATCCGGTGTAAGGAACGACGAAGCCGACTGAGTGCTGGCGAGGCTAGGGACGGATCGATTGGGCGATCAAACCTTTGGGGACAGACCAAAGAGAAAGAGCTGTACAATAGCAGCGGCGGGAGGGGAATAAAAGAAAGGTGGGCAGGCGTGCATCTCTGGGAGATCGGCTCGAGGAAGAGCCCG